AGCTCAGCCTCAGTGCAGCGGAGTCCTGACTGTAAGTTTATTGTCTGCTTTCTGACTGTAAGTTTATTTTCTGCTTTCTGACTGTAAGTTTATTGTCTGCTTCCTGACTGTAAGTTTATTTTCTGCTTTCTGACTGTAAGTTTATTTTCTGCTTTCTGACTGTAGATGATCCGTAAGATCAATGTGTGGAGTTTCTTTGGATGTTTGAATAGAAAGCAAACAGAATATGGAAGCACATTTCCGCCAACATGACGGGAAAAATTAGACTAGGCCTGTGTGTTGTTTCCTCATATGTTCTAACGACAGAAGCAAATTAATGAGAGAAAGTTTGGCAGACCAAATCATTAAAGACTACTTTAGACATTGATTTACAAATCGTGAGATTATAGCGGGTTTGGAGGAATCACAGAATATTAAACTAAGTCTCTGGACCATTGAGAGAAAGATCATTAATATTTCTCTGTGCCTCCACTGTTTACTGTCTGCAGTGAAACTGAACATAATGTCTGATATTTGATTGATGATCTCTGTTCATCATTTGTTTTAGAATAAGATAATAATACAAATAATAACGATACAATAATGTTACAATGTTGAGAAATATGTTTTATAATCCTTCAGTGTTGTGGCGTATCTTCGGTTGAATCATTAACAATAAGCTCCACCCAGTTTGGTTCCTTCCCTCTCCAGAGATCAACGCCTGTGAACAACAGGTATGTGTATGTGGCTCCATCTAGTGGTTAGTTATAAAAACAGCACTGTTAAAATAAGCATTTGGATAAATCTAGTCTTATATTACAAATGTAAGCAGATTTAACAGCATTTATTGAGGGACAAGAGATTTTAGTAACATATCAGTTATATGACAAATATGTGATATTTTGCTCTCTTAAAATCGATATTATTATACATTATTTTTTATTTAATTTTTAAATGACGTACTCATTCCACATATTTGTTAGTTGTATCTAAAAAGAAAGACAATAGCAGAGAAGAGGAGAGAAGCCTCACTCATCACCACACAATGGTCCACCATACCCACTTATCCATGAACACATAATTCATGAGGTTATTATAAAGTTAGAGAGTTGTAGAAAAGAGCCGAGGAGCAGAAATGTGCCTCTACTGTGAACAACCTGACCGTCCCAGTGTGGTAGACAGACATGTTCAGGTAATAATAATAAACTAAAGGGCCATCCTGTGTGTCAGTGTCTGCTGAAAATGAACAGACTGACAGAGAGAGATTCCTTCCTCTATAGTTAGATTTTGATTTTAAATTGTGAATAAGTTGTGAATATGACAATATCAAAATATTCTGAATAAAACATTCTGGTTTTTAATGAAGCTCTCAGTGTTTGGAAGTGATGCAGACACAAAAACCTTTAAGATCTGAGTAAAGTTTAGTGTAATGTGCTGATTACTGATCTCTGTGTCTCAGACTTACTGAAGGCCTCGAGATGAGTGAACGTGGAGCCGAAGGATCAGGATCAGGATCAGGATCAGGATCAGGATCAGCCTCTTCTGCAGCTAGTTTTGTTTATGTGAAGAGTGACCGCTCCAGAGAATATCGTCCAGATTTAAGCACTGAATCCAGACCTTCACAAACAGGGTGAGGTATCCAGTTCTCCTCTAAACATCTGTGAGCCTGACTCTCTGCTCTGACAGAAACAAATAATGCAACTGAATGCAATGTCATAAATAACAGAATCTCTACAGTTTAACATACATATCACATCAACACACACAAAAGACTGTGTTTCTGTTTTCTATCAAATATTGGTTGTGTTCAGTTCTGCTGAAACATCTGTTGTAGTCTATAATGTAATTAAATCACAGATTGATGGAAGTCAAGAAGAGTATATCAGAGGAAGAACCAGCATCTTCTGCAGTCAGTTCTGTTTCTATGAAGAGTGACCGCTCCAGAGAATATCCTCCAATGTTCAGCACTGAACCCAGACCTTCAGAAACAGGGTGAGATTATCAGTACTGTCAGAATATATACACAACATTATGACACATAAAATATGCTAATGCATACCCATCAGTGATGTTGCAGTGTGATGACCACACACTGAATACAGATCTTCATCACTGCAGCAAAGTACTGGAGATTAAAAAAAATGAATGAGTTTCAGGTAATAATAATAATAAACTTTATTTATAGAGCACCTTTTAAAACCAGAGGTACAAGGTGCTGTACAGTGCAAACATAAGAAAAACAACAACTATGACAAACATTCAAAGTATAAAACAAGAAATAATATAAAAACAATAAAACTACACACAGGGCAAAACGAAACAGATCAGTTTCAAGCCTCTTCTTAAAGCTAAAATCAACTGATTTTGCTCTTTTTATTATTATGGGAAGGCGGTTTCAGAGGATGGGAGCCACAACTGCAATGGCTCACCTTTGGTTTTAAGTGTAGAGTTCACACTTAGACAAAAAGCAATCAGGCTTGTCCAGAGAGTCAGATCCAAAACAGCTAAATTTAGCTAAGTTGCTAAAGAACTGAGAAGATTCCAGCTGCGGCCGTGCAGACTTCCTCCAACTGCACCCTTTTATCAAATTGTCAGCGCCGAAGGCAGTAAAGCAGCTGCAGAATCCAAACCATACCTCCTCAAAAACACACACATAGACCATAGCAGTAAAACATGTTAAATGTTATTAAAGGTAGTAATTTTAGCAAATATTAAGCAGAGAAAATCCTGAGTTGTGTTAACATAACTGCTGAAAATCTATACATAATGTTTGTATACATTTTATAACCCACTTACTAATCTCACATTAGCCTATACTTTTGGTATGTTGAGATAAATGCCATTACTTTTTGGACGCTCTCTTCCGTGACCCAACCAGACCACACACCAACCAGTTGAAAGTTTCTGTCAACGTTCTTCACTTTCGTCCTTTATATTCGTGCTGCGGCTGCAGCTGGATATACTTGAAAAAACTACCTCTACAACAGTAGCTTTTTTCTTGATAACATTTTCATTCAAAGTTTTCTTTCAACATACAATTAAGATAACATGTTATTCAGTTTCTCACAGGTAATGCTTTCCAAGGCTCTCAAAGGGTGGGAAAATAAAAACATATCAAAACATCCTTACTCTCTGCTCAGGAAGTGACCTGTAACCTCTGGCAGCATCATGCGACTAGAGATAGAATAGAAATAACGATACAATAATGGAACTGTAAGCAATACCATAACATGGAGACAATAACATAATCTAGTTCAACATTCATAAAACAACACACACAAACAACTCTGTGTTTCTGTTTTCTATCAAATATTGGTTGTGTTCAGTTCTGCTGAAACATCTGTTGTAGTCTATAATGTAACTGATCTTCACAGATGGACTGAAGTCAAGAGGAAGGGTAAAGCTAAGGGAGGATCAGCGTCTTCTACAGCCAGTTCTGTTTCTATGAAGAGTGACAGCTCCAGAGAATATCCTCCAATGTTCAGCACTGAACCCAGACCTTCAGAAACAGGGTGAGATCATCAGTACTGTCAGAATATTTAAACAACATCATGTTTCATACTGGAAAACATTTCCAAGACCAGCAGTTAAAGATTCTCACATTGAGTTTTAATAGTTTTGGTCGGAAATGCTCAGTCTCAAATACACAATACTATGAATCCTAGCAGTATGTAGTTGTTTTGATTCACAGTTGGGGTTTCAAAACATCAGCAGTGAGCTGTAGGATTGTACAACCTTGAACATCCCCTCCAAATAATTGAAAAGTGTACGAGTCTGCTGATTTTGTTATAAGGTAGATTTGTAAGGGAAACCCCACCTTACTAAAATAGCAGATCATCCTGTATTATATTAATGACTCTAGATAAAATTAAATAATAATCATGAGATTTACACAATGTAGATGATGTGTTCAGTGGACATAGTGAAAATCAATAAAATAATGTATTGTTTTCCCAAGCTGAAGGCAGAGGTCAGTTAGTGTCAAAATGTCTTACAAACACACCGACAAACTCTAACAATTGCAGACTAACACTGTCTAGTTGTCATAAATTGTAATACTATTTACTCATAAATTAAAAGTTTAATTGATAATTTTCACTCTTAATTAATTTAATTGTGCAATAGATTAACTGTTTACCTCAGCAATGACAACAAAAACTAATGCATGCTTTAATAGAAGATGTTTTTTGATTACTATCTCTACTTTTTTTAGGGAGACATCTACATCAAGCAATTATCAGAACCAAGACACCCTGAAGGTAAGGTTTTTAAAGATATTTTGGGGCTTTTTATGCCTTTATTTGATAGGACTTGAGGGCTGCAGGTTGTAATCAAACCCAGGTCACTGTGGTAATGACTCCGCCTATGTGGGGCCACAGGGTACACGGTAGCTCACCTGGTTTTATGATGTAGACCTATTCTATTAGGGAAGAGGATACTGACATGTGAAAATCTGATAAAAGGTTTTGTGTTCTTTGTCAGGGGTTTGAGTCTAAATCCATGGCATTTTTAAGAAAAGCTCTGAGAACCCATAAGAAGGTCCTTTCTGGAAAACAAAAAGGATTGCTGCAGGAGGACGTACTTGATGGTCAACCGGTTGAGTCTGCTGATGAAACAAATGAAGCAGCTCTGAAGATTGCTCTCCATATCTTGAGGACCATGAATGAAGATGAACAGGCTCACTCACTTGAGCAAAGTAAGAGACTGCTTGTTACCTTAAGTGTTTGTGCTTCTTGAACTTTGTCTATAGTCTTTATATATTAATATAAATATTCCACACCTATTAGATGAACAACAGTGACATTTGGTGTTGTGCTAACATTATGCTTACATTGGTTTGATAGCAGGCTAAAAACACAAGTGAGCTGAAGCTGATGAATGCTGAACCAAACGAAAAGACACATATTCTAGACCTTGAGGGAAATTTGAGTGGAGCTGGCAATGTGAGATGTCTTAAAATGATCATTGTCTTTCAGAACTGACAGGGTGGTTAACAGAGGGATACGCACATAACATATTGTTCTTGTTATTAATGTTACACATTTCTGTGCTGTTAGGTCATTATGGAGAGCTTCCAATGTACAGAAAGAAACTCAGATCTTCCCTGAAGAGGAAGAATGAATTCATAATGGATGAGATAAACTCACAGCAGTTGCCTGTCCCTCTTAGACAGATTTATACAACGCTCTATCTGTTAGAGGGGGACAGTGGAGAGGTCAACAATGAACATGAAGTGAGACAAATTGAGAAAGCTTTCAACAAACGGAAGTCTTCAGACACTCCGATCAAGTGTGAAGACCTCTTCAAGCCCAACCAACAAGACAAACCCATCAGAACGGTGCTCACCAGGGGGATAGCAGGCATTGGTAAAACTGTTTTGGCACAGAAGTTCATGCTGGACTGGTCAGAGGAGAAGGTCAATCAAGAAATCCAGCTTCTGTTTTCACTTCCTTTTAGGGAGCTAAATTTGATTAAAAATGAAAGAAGAAGTTTGATGGAGCTGCTCTATGACTTCTCTCCAGGCCTGAAAGAATCTGGAATAAAAGACCTGACAATGTGTAAAGTTCTGTTTCTACTGGATGGTCTCGATGAGTGCAGACTCCCTCTGGATTTCAAAAGAAATGAGAGGTGCTGTGATGCTACACAGCCAGCATCAGTCGATGTGCTGCTGACAAACCTCATTGCAGGTAACTTGCTACCAAAAGCGCATCTCTGGGTAACTACTCGACCTGCTGCAGCCAGCTGTATCCCTCGAGAGTATGTAGACCGCGTGACTGAGATACGAGGCTTTAACAACCTGCAGAAGGAGGAGTACTTCAACAAGAAAATCGATGATGAAAACTTAGCCAGAAGAGTGATCGCAAACATAAAGTCGACAAGAAGTCTCTACATCATGTGCCACATGCCAGTGTTTTGCTGGATTTCGTCTATTGTCTTGGGAGAAATTTGCGCCAAAGCAGGCGGAGGAAAAATGCCAAAGACTTTGACTCAGATGTACATCTACTTCCTGGAACATCAGACCACTCAGAAGCATGTCAAATACAGCGAAGAGCAAGAACTGGACTCCCAAGGGAATAGCAAATTGATTATGTCACTTGGGAAGTTGGCCTTCCAGCAGCTGGAGAAAGGCAACCTGATCTTCTATGAGGACGATCTTAAAGAATGTGGTATTGATGTCAAAACAGCGTCTGTCTACTCAGGAGTGTGCACTCAAGTCTTTAGGGAAGAGTCCTGCATGCAGCAAAAAGTCTTCTGCTTTGTTCATCTGTCTGTCCAAGAGTTTCTTGCAGCTTTGTACGTCCATGTGATGTACAAGGTCAATCGTGTAAACCTGATGATCAAAGATGGGATGGCCCGAGCCAAGTCTGTATCTCAACTGCACAAAACTGCAGTGGACAGAGCCTTACAAAGTCACAACGGCCACCTGGATCTCTTCCTGCGTTTCCTCCTCGGACTCTCTTTGGACTCCAGCCAGGTTCTGCTCAAAGGCCTGAAGATTCAGGTAGAAATCTGCGACTCCCAAAGTCATGAGGAAACCATCAAGTACATCAAGGAGAAAATAAGTCAGACACGTCCTCTAGAGAAGTACATCAATCTCTTCCACTGTCTCAATGAGTTAAATGACCACTCTCTGGTGGAGGAGATCCAGAGCCACCTGGACTCACACAGAGACTTGGTGATGGACAAAAGTTCTGCAGCTCAGTGGGCAGCTCTGGTCTTTGTGTTGCTGACCTCACCGGAGAAGCCAGAGGAGATCCAGCTCAAGAAATACTCCAGAACAGCAAAAGGCCTTCACATGCTCCTACCAGCCATCAAAGCATGCAGATCCGCCATGTAAGTGTCTTTCATAATTTTCTAATTACTCATTTATCACTTGATGTCTTGTCCACCTTTTGTAATAACAAGTTGACTTTGTCTTTCTGTTTATCAGACTGAATGATTGCAATCTCACTGCAGACTGCTTAGAGGTGCTGTCCTCCACACTCAGCTCAAGCTCTAATGAGCTGAATCATTTAGATTTAAGTGATAACAACATACAAGACTCAGGAATCAAGCACCTCTGCAAGGGACTACAAAGCCCAAACTGCAGACTGAAGACGTTGAGGTGAGTCGATGCTGAAACTGAGATGCAGCTACTGTGATTGTGTACAAATATGATTTGGGTTCCTGAACTCAATTTGAGTTTGTTTGAGGTGCTCTTTGGATACGGATACATAAACACAAAACAAGGCACAAAAAACTCTTTTAAACTCTTATTGTCATGGCATGGTCCAGTTAGACACAAAAACAGATGTTTGATACGTATTTTGAGAGGTGTGATTAAGCTTTGTGGTAACTTTTGATGATGTAGTCTGGGTTATTGTTATATTGGATTTTCGTATATTGCAAGGTGTTCATTTGTCCATGTTGTTTGTCCCTTCAGGCTGAACCGATGCAATCTCACTCAGAAATGTTGTAAAACTCTGGCTTCAGTCCTGAGCTGTCCCTCCTCACATCTTAGGGAGCTGGACTTGAGTGACAATGACATTGAAGACTCTGGAGTGCAGCAGCTCTGCAATGGACTGGCAAATGTGTGCTGTAAACTGGAAACCCTCAGGTATAACAGAGAAAACTATTAATTCATGTTTAATATTTATGAAGGGTATCAACCACCGGTTAAGGCTGAGTTCTGTCTCTCTGTCGCAGGTTGTCGTTCTGTAACATCACAGAGAAAGGTTGTGCTTTTTTGGCCTCGGCAGTGAAGTCCAACCCATCCCACCTGAGTGAGCTGGATCTGAGGTTCAATCACCTTGGAGAGTCAGGAGTGAAGCTCATCTCTGAAGCTCTGGAGGAAGGAGGATGTGAAGCTAAACTCAGGTAAAGAGCACAATGTTTGTGTTTTTAATGTTGTGGTGTCTCCTGGTACAGAATGCAGGCTGATAATGTGTTTATCTGCCCCACAGAGTCGACCACAATGCAGAACACTGGTATAAACCAGGACTGAGACAATGTAAGTACATTTCTGAGCTAAAGTCAGGTAGGAATTGATATGTTCCCAATATGGACCGGTGCCAACCAATCAGAAGCCAGTGTGATCTGTGGCTATGGTATAAATTGGCATTGTAGATGTTAAACTCTTCTTCCTGCCACCAGATGCATGTAAGCTTACAATGGATCATAACACCGCTCACAAACGTCTCATCCTCTCTGACGAGCCCCCAACAATTACCCAGGGCAGCGAGAAGCAGCCATATCCCGATCACCCTGACAGGTTTGACTACTGGTCCCAAGTCCTGTTCAACGAGGGCCTGACAGGCCGCTGCTACTGGGAGGTGGAGTGGGATGGAAAATGGGCAGCGATCGGAGTGACCTACAAGGGCATCAGTCGCAAAGGGCCAGAAAATGACTGTGTGATAGGCTACAATGGCATATCTTGGAGTCTGCACTGTTCTTCTAAAGGCTACCATGTGTATCATAACTTCGAGAGCATCGTCGCTCGTGTCCCTCTGGGTGATTCCCGTGGACTGGCTGTGTATCTGGACTGGGAGGCCGGCATCCTGTCCTTCTACAGAGTTTCTTCTGGAAGGTCGCTGACACACCTGCACACCTTCTTCACCAAATTCACTGAGCCTCTCTACCCAGTTTTCAGAGTGTGGGTGAAGGGCTCCTCAGTGAGGCTGTGTCAGGTGAAAGAATAGAAAGAAAAGACTGAATGAGAGATACACGCTATTCACCGATGATTGGTCTTCTTCTGATCAAAGCAATCAGAGTGATCAGATGGAGGTCATTGAACCTTTTTACCATTTATATTAAACAGTATTAAGTTCTTTAAATTCAGAGAAAACAACTGAAAACTATTTGAACTTTACATTACTGTCCTCTGTCCAGTGTCGCCGCACCTGAAATTTTGAATTAAAATGGCAAAAAATACTTTATCTGGCGAGCAGTAGCTGTGGAGATTGGTTCTTTAGGTGAGTTTAAAATGGTGTCCGCACATGATTTTATGTATTATGGTAGCTTATATGCATATACCTATATATATTTCAGTATGGAAAATGTATTAAATTATTATCAATGAGGGTTCAACATGTTTTTGTTTGTTTGTGTTTTAACTTTCCTGGTCGGAAGGAGAAGAAGATATACTTTATTGATCCCCTAGGGGAACTTGTTCTTTTCATTATTTTATACACACACATACACGCTGAAATACACACTTCATGCACTTGTGGACATGCAAAGGGGAGAGAGATGGTGGAGCGATGGGGCTGCAACGTTAACAGCGCCCCATGAGCAGGCCTTGCTCAAGGGCACCTCGGCAGTGCACAGGAAGTGAAACTGACACCTTTCCAGCTACCAGTCCACACTCCATATTTTGTGGTCTGTGGGACTTGAGCCGACGACCCTCCGGTTCCCAAGCCAAGTCCCTACACACTGAGCTACTATCGCATTCTTCACCTTCTTTTATGATAATAAAAGAGTTATTTTGTAGTTATTATCTGAAGTTTGCTCCTCTGACTGTTTATAAATTTTCTGGTGCTACCAAATTAGTAAAAGAAAAAGTAAACTGTACTTTTACGCAAACACAAAAAAAGAGAAAACTTTAGACCCTCAAATGTCCAGCTGTAAAATACTGTTGGACATTTGAGGCCCGAACAAAATGATCAGTCATTTAATCAACTAGTCAGTCAGCAGGTTTATGAACAGCAGTTGTGATAATCAGAGATGTTCACAAGTCTTTTTTTGCAAGTCCAAGTCAAGTCTGAAGTCTCTAAAAAATAAAGTCATATGTCTCTTCTGGTTGTAATGAGCCTTCTGTCATCTACTAAGAATACTGCACAGCTATATCTAAGAAATTCAAAGCATTTACTGTATTATTATCACTCCTTTATCTATTAGCATACAGTATCAGTACTGATTAGTTGCAATGCAATATGAAGAAAACACACAATGAATGCTTTCCTTTAAAGGAAACTGTATTCTTCCAACATGAACATACAGTTATAGTATATCTTGCCCCCTATTGTGCAGGCTCAGTGTCACACACACATACACACACCCTGGCACATATTTTCACTTCTGATTACATTATTTAGATTCTATTTAATTACATTATTTACATCATATTAGTTTGATTTTATTCATATTTATCTTATTTATTCTATTTATAAGGCCAGTTTAGGAGTAACCAGGAGACATTTCACTGCATGTTACTCTGGGACTTCTGTATGTGACAAATAAAGTAATCTTGTAATCTTGTAATCTTGTAAATGTAACATTATTAGTCATGCAATAATAACTAATCATCCAATCTCAGTTATAGTTAGCTATATCTGCTGGACACAAAATTAACACCATTCAGATGCTGGTAAATCATACAAGTGGCTGGTACTGTATGCTGCACTCAGCAGCCAGAATCACAATGGTAATCTATTGAGTGGCTGGTAACATTTCAACAGTCACTAGTCTAGCCGTTTTGCCAGTGGACAAAAAGTTAAAGGTTTGCACTCTGCAACCGTATTGTTTAATTACACTGGGTCTCTAATGACACATTCCTCTCTCCTCTCACTCAAACAGTGGAATGGTAACCTGGTAAACCTGTAACATTAACGTTACGTGGTCATTAACCTGTAACCTGCCTGTAAGCCGACAGTATAACTCTGTATTTTTCTACGGTTAACGTTACCGGTTTTTTTAATGTCAGCGCCACTCAATGCAAACAGAGTTTCCTCAATATTAAAACGCCAAAAAAGAAAACATAATGATTGTTCACAAGTCCCAAAACACGAGTCTGAGTCGAGTCTGAAGTCTCTGTGTGTGCCACTTAAGTCACAAACTCGAGTCCCCATCTCTGCTGATAATCAATTAACTGCTGAGTTTGTTCAACTAGCAGACATGTCAGAAACTCTGGTTGTAGTTTCTGGAATTAGTTTCTTTTCATACGACCTGAATAACTTTTAGTTTTGGACTCTTGGTCGGATGAAACGAGACCTTTTTGAACACTGAGACTGTGGGAAACTTTCACTAGTTTCTGGGTGTGCCAGGTCCCTTCAGTCAAAGTCAAACTGTCTAATTTCATGGGAACACAGAGAATTATGGGATACTCGTATATAAACAAGGGCTGAAATCTGCACTCAGTGGAGCTGACGCTGTTTTGAGAATTGATGTAGTTGCTGTTGTTCTCCAGCAGAGGTCGATGTATCTCTTCATGAGGAAGTAACACTCAGAAGTAAACAATGAAAAAGGAAATGACTACAGAGCGAGCAGAGCAACAACAGACAAAGTTTATCTTACTGACCTGAAGAATGTGGATTCACTCTGTGTCGACAATGACAGACACTCACATTTATTTACAGACGTCGATCAGCAGAAAATCTGAATCAGAATTAAGTTTTTACACATACAAGGAATTTGTCTTGGTGCATAAATATATAGAAATCACACAAAATACAGTACTTTCAAAATATAAATAAATAACGATAAGAAAACTGTGCAGGAAATGGGAGTGCACTGATGTAATGCATATATACAGGGTGGGTATTAGGAGTCAGTGTCAGTGGGTGTTATTGAGACCAGCTGCAGACAGAAAGAAACTGTTGTGGTGTGAGATTTTGGTCCTTACAGCCTCCTGCTGCTCATGCTTTTTTCAGTTTTTTATTTATTTTGTATCAAACTGAATCTCTTCAGGCGGTGAGCTGTTCACTGTTTGATATTTCATAGGTTCAATAGTTCATTTAGAATATAATTGCCAATAATCGCCTATTAGCAGGTTTTGGAAACTAGTTTTCTACTCATGGAAACACCTGGAAATGGTTTAAAATGTTATAATTATATAAATAATAAATAAAATATATACATATTGTTGCAGTGGTTGATAAATACCTGCACAGTGATGTTAACTGTACTTGCAACAAACACTTTAACTTTCTCGAAGATGAATTTTCTGTAAAATAAAATAAATTCTTTTTCATTCCAGCTGTTATTCAAAGGCCAAATTAATGTAATGTGATGTGAGCGTTTGTAAGAGAAATTAGAAAAACTAATGAGGGATATTTTGTTAAAAAGAGCGGGAACTGTGTGTCAGTCGGGTTGTGGCTGTTGATGAACACAAACTGGGGCGTTTATTGTGGTTACTCTGGTGTTACACTTTTAGCACACACTGATACTTTGTGCACTTCCTGTTTATTTCCCTTGCAGCCCTGTTGTTGTTTAGAGCCGTGATGTAGTGTCAGCAGACTAATTTCTCTTTTATTTGTTCTTCATGTGTCTTTAAATGTTTCCTCACAGCTCATCACATGAAGATCTGAAGAAGAATGAAGTCTCTGCTGGAGGAAAATCTCCTTTTTCATTAGTTTCATATCCGTTTGTTTTCATACAAAACAGTTTTATACATGATTATGTTTTTTATTAATGTGTGTATAGATTTTCATATTAACTCAACAGTGTTCATCTTCAGCCTTTCTACGTTCTCTGACAGCGTTAACGTTCAGAAAGTGAACAGCAAAATAAAACCGTCAGGGAATTTATGACCGTTGCTTTTGACTCGCAGGACTTCACGTTTTTATTTCTTAAGGTTTGTACATATGTTTCTAATCAGGTCAAAGTATTTTTGATTAACACTTTTATTTTTCTGGAGTTTTGTTTGTTTTCTTTGTTTTTCTCTGTCAGACGTTCATTTACAATTTAACTGTGCTGAGTAATTAACTTGATTAAAATGTTACCTCTTTTCAACAAAACTGTCTCCGTGTGCTTTGAGAACATCTACAGGTCGAAGGTCGCCACATTTCAACATGTAAGCCGCCGTTTACAACACATATTGCTTTTGCTTATTTTGACACTTGAATGCAACACCACAGACGCAGGTTGCTACAGGTCTGGAAAGTACTTGAAAGATTGATTAAAAGAAAAACAAGACCTTGAAAGAGTTTGAGCCTCGTACAATCTCAGTGTTTGGACACATTACGTGCTGGGTTCTGTTATTTCTGTGTCTCTGTGTTTCTGTCGAGATGAGGCCCATTCCAACCTTAAATTCACTCAAAACCAAAACTCAACATTCGCAGACGGTTCAGCTGCTAGATTTTACGTATCGATTCCTCGATGAATGCTTCCCCCACAGCCGTACAGCATGACCAAAAGAAAGAGATATAAAATACAGATTATTGAATAAGATTAAATGACAAACATAAATACACATACACACATAAACATGTTAATTAATCATGAAATATTTCCAGTATTATTTCCAGTCAAAAATGTCTTCTCAGAAAATATGAAGCATTTTATGTTAAAATGTGTTTTTCAGCACGTGAGATGTTTAACAAGTTAAACTATTTTGCCTGTACAAAAGCCTCTGATCATCACTGGCTGATTTAGTTATTGACTACAATAAAAATGGGCTGAAAAATATGATATCACCCTGCAGACGGGAGCCCGGAGGAAATGTATCTGCAGTATTTGAGCAGCAGTGTTCAGGGACAGTCAGCAGATGGGAAGTGAAAAACAGGAAGTGACCTCTGTGACCTTTTATAATGTCACTTATGTTTATGTTTAGTTTGCAGGAAAACAATGAAGGCCTTGAAAGTTTGTAAAAGTAATCCTGAACTGACGGGGGTCGTCCAAAGTGCTCCTGTAAAGAATATTTAAGGCTCTGTCTCTTGTTGTCTGTGAGCTTCTATAAAGCTTCTCATTATAAAAGTCATTCACCTTAACAAGGCGTCCCGAGGTTGGATGTTTAATATTAGTTACTGAAAGAGTTTAAAATGTGAAACTACAGTTGAGTTCTGGATCCTCAGAGGCTGATCTGGTTGTTTGTGCTGCAGGTTCAGTTGAACTCTGCAGTATTTTTAACATATTCAGATTAAAATCTGTTATCAGTCAGAAACAAGTCTCTTATCATCCCGCTCCACTGCGGCCTCCCAACAGCCGCCTGCTGTATGCAGATTAGAAGCTCAGAGTCACATTAACTGACTTCAGTCCTCTGGCAGCAGGCAGCTACAGAGAGAGAGAGTACTGTTTATCCCCTCTAAACCTGGAGCTTGTATTCAGCCTGGCAGGAAACTACCTGAACCTATAAGTAAGGAAGTATATTTACTCTATTACTGTACTTGAGAACAAATCTGAGGTACTTTCCTCTCCTCTACAGTTCAGAGGCAGATATTGTACTTTTTACTGCACTGCATTTATGTGATAGATTTGTTGTAACTGCAGATTCACATTCATAGGACATCAGCCAGTACAATATGGAGGTTGTCTTTACTGCTGTGTATATAATATAACAGAGCACACAGCTCAGTGCTGCTCTGTTACTGTGGATGGATTCGCTCACTGTGGTATTTGTGCTTTATAGTTTATAAAAGACTCAAGAATGGAAGGAAGAGCAGTAAAAGATGATTGTTGACAGCCTTACAGAGTTACATTACATAAGATATCTTCAGCATCCAGGCACACAGCTCAGTGTGACCTCCTCCCTCTTCCTGCTGAAATCGAAACTAAATAACTTGTTTACCTCGGAGCTCAGCCTCAGTGCAGCGACGCAGTCCTGACTGTAAGTTCACCTTCTGCTTTCTGACTGTAGATGATCCGTAAGATCAATGTGTGCAGTTTCTTTGGATGTTTGAATAGAAGCAAACAGAA